GGGGGGGGTAGTGTTGTGAAAAGTATAATTTTAGACTGAGGCCGTTCAGTATGAAATTTTGGGTCGTTCTGATTGATCGACGGACACTGGTCAGAGCAGAATCCTTTGATTACTCTGTTGTGTTTATAGTAGAGAATAAAATGGTATGGCTACCTAATACGTATGTCAACTAGCCAACCAGCCTCGAAAGCCTTTAACACCAAGCACTGAGGCTATAAAGGAAGAGGAAGGCCACGCAAAAGGTGGGTTGAGAATGTCAAGGAAACCCTGAGAAATTATAAAATCCCAATTTCCGAAAGAGCTGTGGAGCTGCCAGCTGGCCTACCATAGAAAACTGCGTCTCCCTTGACGTTTAACGGCAACAGAGGATGAACAAGTAAAGTAAAATAAGTAAGTTGACCCGTGTGTGAGTGTGTGTGTGTGTGTGTGTGTGTGTGTGTGTGTGTGTGTGTGTGTGTGTGTTTGTTTGTTGTTTTTTGCCTGAACTCTGTAGATAACACAACACAAATCCAACAGAAAGTACAAAGCCAAAACTACGTGCTGCTAAATCCAACCTTCAAAGAAGAACCAGAGAGTGCGCCAATCAGTACTGGGACAAATTAAGCTCAGAAATCCAACAGGCAAGCGATACAGGTAATTTCAGGAAAATGTATGAAAACATCAGAGTTGCTATTGGACCCACAGCAAGGAAAGTGGCACCTCTAAAGTCAGCGACAGGTGAACAGCTGACAGACAAGAAGGAACAAATGGAAAGATTGGTGGAACATTATTCAGACTTATACTCAGAGGAGCGACATGTCGATAAACAGCTACATGAGGCCATTCCTCAGCTTTCCGAAATGTCAGAACTTGATACAACACGAACAGAAAAAGAACTCTCTTCTGCAATCGATGAACTCGCTTGCAGTAAAGCAGCAGGAAATGACAACATGCCTGCTGAAGTGCAGAAAGAGAGCAAAGAGACCCTCCTCAAATATCTCTTCAAGCTTGTTGGATGAAAGCACAAATTCCACATGACGTGAGAGATGCCACAATCACCACGCTCTACAAAAAAAGGGGACAAAGGAGATTGCAACAACTATAGAGGTATCTCACTTCTAAGCGTCACTGGAAAAGCTTTCGCTAGGATCATCCTGAAGCGACTTCAGAAACTAGCAGAAACGAGTCCCACAAGAGAGCCAATGCGGTTTCAGATCAAACCGCTCAACAATAGACATGATATTTTCTATTCGTCAGCTTCAAGAAAAATGAAGGGAGCAACAACTGCCATTACATACTGCGTTCGTCGATCTGACAAAGGCTTTTGATACAGTCAGTAGATCAGGACTCTACATGGTTCTTTGAAAAATTGGCCGTCCCCCAATACTGCTACAGCTCATCATCTCATTCCACGAAGATATGAAGGCCACCATTCAGTTTGACGGTTCAATATCATACAGCTTCAATATCAATATCGGAATAAAGCAAGGTTGTGTCTTAGCACCAACCCTTTTTAGCACTTATCTTGCTGTCTTACTGCAACACGCATTCAAAGAGTCACCAGGAGACGTCTTCCTCCAATGGAGAACTGATGGGTCGCTTTTCAATCTTGCTCGACTCAATGCCAAGAAAAAGATCAACAAAACAAGAGTACGAGACCTTCTCTTCGCTGATGATGCTGCTCTTGTTGCTCACAGTGAATCAACACTACAAACAATGATGGACCGCCTATCAACAGCATGCAAGGTCTTTAGCTAAGTCAGCAGTGTTAAGAAAACAGTCATTCTTACCCAAGAAGGTGCAGAGCAGAGGCATATATGGCTGAACGACAAGGAACTTGAGACAGTGGACAAGTTCTGTTACCTGGGGTCTACCATCAGCTTTACTACATCACTAGATTACGAGATCAATATCAGGATAGGGAAAGCAGCAACACCTTTTGGGAGGCTGACAAACGAGCATGGGAAAACAAACGATTAACCATCAAAACAAAGATCAAGATTTACGAAGCATGTGTCCTCAGCACACTCCTTTACGGATCGGAAACATGGATCTTGTACAGCAGACAAGAAAAGCACCTCGACATTTTCCATCTCAAATGCTGCGCAAGATCTTTGGCATTTCGTGGCATGACAAGGTTACAAATGTAGAAGTGTTGACACGGGCAAACCTCCAGAGCATGACAACTATCCTGTGTTTAAAAAGATTGAGATGGCTGGGCCATGTCAAAAGAATGGACGACAACCGGATTCCGAAGCAACTTCTCTATGGAGAGCTTGCCCAGGGAAAGAAACCAAGAGGAAGACCAAAACTGAGGTACAAAGACACCTGCAAAAACAGCTTTTCTAAGCTTGGAGTAGATGTTAGCATCTGAGAAGAAATAGCTGAGGACAGGAAAACAGAGGAAAATGATAAAGGAAAGAATTATAACGCTAGAAGAGAGCAGCCTTAGAAACAATCAGGCTGAGAAGTGCCAACGACAAAAGGAAAACAGCTAAAATACAGAGCTTCGATCTACGACACTGACATACAAGCACTGCGACAGAATCTGCGCTTCAAACATAGGAACAATTAGCCATGAAAGAAGCTGCATGAAGACAACCTTGAGACCATCTTAAGCTAAATTGACCGTCTGCATAGACGAAAAGAGCCATACAAGCAGAGAGGGCCTACCTTTGCTGTAGAAATACCTTCACCTTTCTTGACGGCCGGAACAGTCGGAAATTGCAAACTTGTTTTATGATCTAGATCTAGGGGATCTAGTGCGGAGCCACCACTGCCGTTATTCTCCGTTATCTGCCGTCTGTCTTTTTGTGATGAACAGACGACAAGTGTGAGCAAGACAGGAAGGACGTTCTACAAAGGCACTTCCGGTTGTGCGAGTGAGCGTTCGTCACGGTGCGTGCGGAAATGACGTCAGAAAACTGAACGTGATGCGCACATCCTGAGACCATAAAAAGGGGAGGGGTTTTTTTTTCGTAAGAGTTTTACAGCACTTGCAACCCAACAAGGTCATTATTGTAAGTGCCGAAGATTAGAGGTGTTACAGGGGAGTAACAAATACAAAAAAGAAGGAGGGGAGATAAGACGATAGATGTTTGATAGGAAAGAAGGAGCAAACCACACAAGGGCACCCGCCAACCGCCCACGGAAGGGTTCTAAGGCACTTACAACATAATTAGGTCGTATAATAAGTGTCGAAGATTAGAGGTGTTACTAAAGAATAACACGCAAAGAAAGGAAGAAGGAGAGATAAAGATGATAGATGTTTGATTTTGATAGGAAAGAAGGAAGGAGCAAACCACACAAGAGCACCCGCCAACCACCCTGGTTTGAAACCTCAACGAGGCCGTCAGTCGGGAACTTGGTCGTTACGGGAATCATCAAACGTCAAGGCTTCCTGTTTACTTGGCTCGGACCTATCGGAAATGGATGTTAAATTCAGAGGTCCTTCCTGTTTGACATTTTAAAATATAGTATTATCATAAAGCTTTCTCCAACCGAGTTAACAGAAACTAAGTGCTTTTTCTTCCCACTTACAGAGAGTTTACAGCATCAATAATAACAAGTAGGAAAACCACACACACACTTTTTTTATACAAAGAGTTTTATTAGAAAAATATTGGGGGTACGGTACACGCATCAAAGCAAGAACATACAAGTTGTGTTGATCTTATAGTTGAGGGGGTTGGGGGTGGGGGGAGCGAGGCAGGTATTGGAAACGACAATCGACGACGACAACAATTTCGAAAACAACAACAACATGAAAAACAACATCACATTCACCTCCAAAACATCCCCTGGCAACTGGTTACACATTGAGACAGTCAACACGTCAATGAATGCAACTCCATTCCCACAATATCCTATAGGCGTCTTCGATTGGCATGGCGGTTAGGCCCTCCAATGTTGTTCGTGGGAGACCAGAGTTCGATTCCAGAGTGGGGGGACTTTTTATCGAGTATCTCGGTCATTTTGCTGAGATGCCGCATAACTTTCAGCCCAGGTTTTTCCCCCGACAGGCATGGTCGAAGCCTGCCTCCTAAATGATCTAAACCGTGTCGATGGGGGCGTAAAAATACTTAATTTACATTCTTTATTCACAGACCATTTCACCTATAAGATACCATGCATCCCCAAAGGCATCGAAAGACCAAAATTGTCTGTGTGAGGTGTGTTAGTGTATGAGTGTGAGGTGTGTTAGTGTATGAGTGTGAGGTGTGTTAGTGTATGAGTGTGAGGTGTGTTAGTGTATGAG